GATATGGTTTATAATTAGTGAACGAACCGTGTACTACTACAAAAATCATTAAAAATATTGAGATTGATGCGCGCGTGGCGCAGAATGCAGGTGGAAATAGAGGAGAAATGCACAAACTCTGAGACAAACAAACGTGTACAAAACAAATCCATAGGATTACTGAGGGGTGTGGCTACTTGCAACGTCGATAGGTCAATGGGAGACTTTGAGACGTTGGTGGCAGCAAACACGGTTTTTCTAAATTGTTTACGTCACGTTTGAGATAAAGCGGGCATGCTCTAGTATGCAAACAATGGAAAAAGGAACAAAAAATTGGTGTAAAGATGATCATAGAGCCTGAAAGTTCAACCCTCGTGGGGCGCTTCCGGAACCTTCGAATAGGAGAACTAACTTGCATTTTTTTTTCAAAATGCCATTATTTTGGGCCATTGATTTTTAAAGAAAATTACCCTATAAACTTTCTATGGGAACCAAGATGCCGGATGTGAAAGGTCGTAGGTCCAATCGTTTTTTACCAATTTACAATGATTTTTCTTAATTTTTCTTGAGGATCTACCAATATAAAAGGTAGCGCCCGTAACACAACTCATTTGTACCACTGATGATAATTTGTGTCCTTTGTGTGTCCGTGCTTGTCACAGGCTGTGTGTGATGCGTCAGTAGTGTACATAGTCGTAGTTGGTATTACACACCCGTAAGACTCCTGCCAGTACATAGCCTCGCCCCCTCAAGACTTCTGCAGTGCCTCCTCATGGCAGCACACGGCAACTGGGCATCCTGCGACCCCAGCTGAATTGCAGGGGATCTTGGAGCAGCAGTGGGCCCAGAGACGTGGAGCGCAGGCCCACTGGCGTGTGGACACGCTATGGTGCCATGTCAACTCTGCCCCAGCTATTGAGTTTCAACCACCGGAGCACTACTTTTGCAACAAAAAAGCCTAACCATGATTTTAAATCCAATGAAGAATCGTATACTGCCCAGCGGCCGAAGTCCGCAGGAGAACACCGAGGGAGTTCGTGCACGCTCACCTCGCTCGTGAGCATAATGACGGGTGCTCCTTCAAACCCTAATAAGGCCTCCTTGGGAGCACCTGACGGGTGCCAGAGGACCGACGTGATACTTAGTTTCCGCCATGAATGTACAAACAATCAGGGAGGACATGAGAGTAAAGGAGCTTGTGGATAGGATGAGGAGACTCACCGTGCGTGGCCGTACCGCGTGTTAGATCCAGGAGCACACTCAGAAGGGTACATGCTAATGGCATGAGAGAAATTGTGGTTACCAACATTGAGGGTTTACCTTGTCACGGCATTGGCCCGGAGAAATGAAGCTCAGGCAGCAACTGTTGGGTTTGGGCTCATGCTGAGCAGAGAGGCACAGACCATTCTCTGATAGAGAATCACTGCCTCCTTTGTCCCTCCAAAGCAATCCAGTCCTCACCATTGCAGTGGAATACGCGCTATCTGTCGTGGCAACCGAAGAGGAGAAGACGAAGTTCAATGATGACCTAAGACGAGCGGTAGAGCTATTCCTTAGCACCACTTCTTACTATCCTTGGGAAAAATGAAGACCTTTACGCTGGCTTGCCGAATGTGAGGAAAAAGATCCGGAGCGCCGTCTATCAAGCTTGCAGGGCATTGCGTCCGTCACCTGGAGCTGGCCGCTAGCCCGATCATATTCGGAGGGGGGGGGTGGGCACATGGGCACTGCCTCACGTGGGAGAAGAAGTCTCTCCTTCGTGGACATGCTGAAACGGGACACCGGCTTGCCACCGCTGAGGAGCTGCGCTCCTGCATGCTGGACAGGGACATCTGGACCAAGACCATTGGGCGGGCTCAAGCTGCCATAGGCCCTAGATTTGATCGATTGAATCGATTTTCCTTTGATTCATTGCAATATTTTCTCTGTTCCCTTCAAATGAATTATCTCAATGAAACTAGGAGAAGAAAAAAAGTCGATGAAAATGAGCAGCGCAAACGCGGATTCGACCAGGGGTCTTCGTATCCATAGCTGATCTCGCTAACCACTAGGCTACTGTAGCTTGACGCCAACCGTACTTTTTAAACGCTTTAATGTAACTGGCTGACTAAATAACAACAATGTTCTTGATCCCATTCTTTTATTCTCATGAATAAACGTACTGGCCTGTTGACGTAAGAATTAATTATACTAGTGGGTACCCTGAAGCTATGATACTGGAGTTACTAAGATAAAATTCGAACATGTGTCTTGGGGCACGTTTACGATTAGATCATTATGTCAAAATATACAGAAAGAGAAAGGGCAACCCGTGTAAAATGTCCACAGGTGAGCAGCAAGAGGTTTCCGTAATAAGTTCGCCGCATGACCTTTCACGTCTAGGGTCTAGATAAGTCACAGGTGGGGTTCAACCAATAAAATGTTAAGGGATCACATTTTATCGGAATCAAAATTTAATGTTACACAGGACAATGTGTGTTAAAATTCTAATGGTGTGTTATTTGCCGTTAAATTTACCCATGCGACGAGCTCTCGAGCAATAATTGAAATGGGTAAACTGTCTTATGTATTTTGTCTCACTGTTCTGCCAGTATAGAAACATGTAAATTTGGAGTATGGTTGGTGTACCGTATTCCCTGTGATACATACCGATCAGCCATCCACGCACCGTTTACCGTTGAGACGTGCATAATTGGCAGTCCGTAGCACGACAACACACTACTGGACGCCGTGATGCGATCATCGTAATTGTCCCGTTTCCATACCAAGGGGTCCCGGACACGAACACTCAGCTGCTGTTAGAAAGCAGAAAAATAAGCAGAGTGTTACATAACTATTGTCGACTAATTGCATGACAAGAAAAAAACTTCGAAGATATGTCTGCTCGTTACCGAACTGACTGTACCGAACGAATCAAAATATTATACTTTTCCGTTCAAAACGACACTGGATCTTTTCTTAAGTTATAACACTTTTTTAAAAATGTAACCACGTGCTCTTATCACTGCTTTGAAATGCACTTTTAATTTGGTGGACCGGGATTTGTACCTTTACTAACTACTGTAGCCGTGCGACATACAGCAGCCGTGCGACCTGCAGTCGTCGTGCGCCCTGCAGTCGTCGTGCGCCCTGCAGTCGTCGTGCGCCCTGCAGTCGTCGTGCGACCTGCAGTAGTCGTTGGACTAGCAGTAATAGTTGGACCACACTTGAAGTAAGCTTGAACTTCGACGGAGTCCTCACTCAAAAACAGCTTGTCCATAAAGGGGCGCCCCTGTCGGTATGATGAAGCAGGGATGCCCATTCTACCGAGGCGTAAAGCGATGCATTCGCACGGATCTTCGTGCGGTAAGAACCAACGTGGCGGGTTGCAATCCAATTCAATGAAGCAAACTTTATGGCTTGAGGTCAAACCTAGGATGATCGGAAACAAAACACAAGAAGAACAAAAGATTTGTTAGTTACAAACGTCGGGTGATCGGCGGACATTGCTAACGACAATTCACGCAATTCACCCTTTTCTTAGGGATCTAGAAGGCATCCTTTTGGGTTTTAAAATGTCAGTATACATTTTTATTTGCACTAAAACGTTTCTTTCGGTTTATTTACGTCATCGGTTAAATGTCTAAATATCAATTCTCAAAACAGGATAAACGTTCATCATGTAGTGAAAAGAACTTATGAAAATATAAAATGATGTCATGATGGCGTCACAGTAGTTATCACATCCTTGGACAAGGGTGCATGTTTGAACAAAGTTTAGTTGTTTATTTAACCCCAGAGGAACAGTTTAGCAAACAGAGGTTTGTAGGTTTGTTTATGGTGCAAATCGAGGATTTTCTGTTGTTCCTCTTCCCTTTTCCTTTGTTTATACTCTTAACATTTTTGCAACAGCCCTCGTTGGTTTTGTACACGTTTCTAACACAGGTCGTCTTCGATTTGATTCCTGTCCCTCAATTAATTGTTGTGTGTCCTCGATTTACACCCAAACAACTGCATGTTATCAAGACATAATCTATCAGACAACTAGAATGTTCGTGAGTTAGGATTGAAACAATACGGTCCAATTTTTAATTTAAAAAAAAATCGCTTGTAATTTGATACATGATGACCTTATCATGACGACACACACACTTCGGTATCAGGATTGATGTTCCTACCAATTTGGAAGTTCTTGCCTTGTTGCGTTTGAAAGAGAAGTCGCAGAAAATTATTCTCCAGAGAACACGAACATGAAAAAGAAAGGAGTAAGAACCAACGCCCCGTCACCAACTAGAAGTTTGCATTTGTTTTGTAACGCAGAGTCATGAGATGCTGACAGTTGTAAATTTACGTAATGGGAACGTAATCATTCAAACATGTTCGCCCCTCATAGCATGGTCCTGTACCTACTCTGCGGAGTTTAGATTGAGTAGTTCGCTGAGATTGTTACTATAGGTCTATCTGTGGTGTCCCTTTTCAATTTTGACCTTATGCTAATGAGCGTGCTGGTCAGCGATCTTTTGATCTCGTGTCACCGCGTGGTGAAAGTCATTCACAGTTATCAGAACTTTCTCCGTGATTTATTCCAGCTCGGAACTTGCTGAAAGTATCAGCATTTGTACAGCTGTATCCAGTTTTTATTGTACTTTATTTTGGATCGTGGCAGTTGACGATCCTTGAGCGAACTCACCTCGTTTGATGGAGACTTTTTCTCGCGAAATCGAGAAGCACTTTCGCGGGCAAATCGCCCCCACGGACTCCGCGTGTGCTCGCCCCATATTGGATTGCTATACACTCGCGTATTACCTGGAGTGCTTCGACTTCGTCGTCAGTGTCCAAAGACGAACTATAGGGTGAGTTGTTGCGTTCTTATTTATGTAGCTAACCACTACATTGGTGACCCTGGCATCAAAGAGCTACACCTTCGATATTGGTGACATTTTAAGCCCAACAACTGGTTTTCTCTCGCACCACCATGCAATTTTCGCCAGCAACATGAGCACGGAAAAGGTGAATCATCCAAAACTGTTGATCAATCAGACATGCCAGAGAATAAGCCACAAATTGGAGCACTGTCCATCAAGCTACCCCTTTTCTGGCCAGCAGATCCCCTCATTTGGTTTGCGCAAGCGGAAGCACAATTCCATACCCGGGAATCAAGCGTGAAGACACCAAATGTGCTCACATTTTGGTTGCGGTGGCAACTGATTATTCAAGAAGTCCGCGATTTGGTGATCACTCCTCCCAAGGACAACCCGTATCAGAAGCTCAAGGAAGAAATGATTAAACGTACATCAGCTTCTGAGCAAAAACGGCTGCAGATGCTACTCACCGAAGAAGAGTTAGGTGACAAGAAACCCTCGCAGTTATTGCGTCGCATGCGTCAACTACTCGGTGAACGCAAACTAGAGGAGGGAATTTTCAAGCAACTCTTCCTACAACGGCTCCCATCCAATGCACAGCTTGTCCTTGCTTCATCCAGGGACTCAGTGTCGCTAGACCAGCTTGCTGCACTCGCTGATCGCATCCTTGAGGTCTACGTCCCTCCAGTCAACGTTGTGACTTCACCGGCTCCTCCTCGTCTGGGGAACTTGCTGAGCTGCGTGACCAGATCTCCAAACCACACAAACACTGTTTTGTACCATCGCCGTTTCGGTGCTGAGGCCCATAAATGCGTCCAGCCTTGCTCCTACACCACTCAGCAGGGAAACGAACCCACGAGGGGATAGGCGCGGTACTTCCACCTGGTACCCAACCTGGCCGCTTGTTCTTCATCAATGACTCTTACCACAAAAAGGAAATTCCTAGTAGACACTGGGGTAGCTGTAAGCATTTTTCCAGCCAACGCAGTCGAAAGGAAACACCCGTCCACGTTTTCACTGCAGGCCGCAAATGGTACCAGCATACCTACTTATGGACACAAGTCTGTAACATTCAACATTGGACTCAGACGCACTTGTCGCTGGATTTTCTTCCTGACCGACACACCAACACAATACTGGGTGCAGACTTTTTGCATCACTACAAACTCCTTGTAGATGTTTCGCGACGTAGGCTTATTGACACCACTACTAGCCTCTCGGTTACTGGAACAGTGGCGCCAGAAATGCCCGTCAGCCCCATATTGGTCCAGCCATTCAACCCAACCACATGGTCCCCAAGAGACACCAGGGACTGGCGCCCATGCGGGAATACAGAGCCCTGATCGTGTCACCGTGCCTGACCGCTATCCCATCGCCCATCTCCAGGATGTTACATCCAATCTTGCAGGATGTTCAGTCTTCAGCAAGATCGACTTGGTACGTGCGTACCACCAGATACCTTTCGAACCTTCAGATGTGCACAAACCGCAATCATTACCCCTTTCGCTCTCTACGAGTTCGTCGCATGCCGTTTGGATTGCAAAACGCTGCCCAGACCTTCCAGCGTTTCATGGACAAGGTCGTCCGCGGACCTTCATTCGTGTACGTTTACATGGATGACATACTCGTTGCCAGCAAGTTGTCAGAGCAGCATGAGGAACATCTCCGTCTGCTCTTCAACCGTTACAGCGCTACGGAGTTGTGATCAATACCAGCAAATGAACCTTGGAGTGTCAGAGCAACAATTCCTCGGACACCATGTAGACAAGCTCGCCCTACGGACTCGCGTATGCTCGCCCCATTGGATTGCTATACACTCGCGTATTACCTGGAGTGCTTCGACTTCGTCGTCGGTGTCCAAAAGACGAACTATAGGGTGAGTTGTTGCGTTCTTATTTATGTAGCTAACCACTACAGGCCTAATACGAGCCCATAATAAACAACATTGGTGTTGAAACGGTAAAATAAAACAATTAAGTCGTATCTAAAACACCTACATAATTATTACCTCTTAAAACTACGGCAATTTCAAAAACAAAATAATCTTCCATACAGATTCACATGAGGACGACTTGAGATCATTGGGATTGAGGACATTTTTTTTGATGTCCCAATGTAACAAAAAAAACACAACAAACAGACTTAGTATTATGTTATCAATAACAAAATGGGGTGCTGCGTAGCACTAATGAAGAAGGACAAGAAGGACAAAAATTCGGCAACAATTATGAGAGCACTTCTATAATTTTTATATCTATCTACCTGGTATTATGTTTTGTTTTGTTAGTTACAAGTCAGCGCACCTTTTTGAGCAAATCGCTAAGTGCCATTATCCTGACATTAACTCAGATTACGGTCTTTTTGAATGTATTGTAACGGGACCTTATTGGGTTCTTGTCCTCCGAGTCCGGCCAAACGCAAGAAAAGGGGAGAAACACACAGGATTTCCAACTTCTGAAGAAACTCTTATTTATTCAGCACAACAACTCTGTGGTCAAACCTGCCACACTGCTACCAGTACCACGACTGCTGATTCCCAGCATAGAAATACACACAGTCTGAACAAATGTATACAATTGTAACAACTTGCAATGACCCCGGCATCTTGCCAAACCTTTCCCGCGTCCCCCAACAAAAGAACCCACTGAAGCAACCTATTTATTGAGCCTATTTCCGGAGCGCGCACAAGCCAGACTCAAAACCAGGTCAGGTGCGCGCCGCCGGAGCCCCTCCGCCGGAGCACTAGTGCTAGAAAACAATGACATTAAAGTACTCCATAGACTGTCCGTTACAATATATTTAAAGCCACCAACGTCTCCACAACCGCGGTGCTGTTAATAAGTTTACTACATCTCATAGACTTAATACGGAACCCCAAAGTGTCGCGAGGAGACCAGTATGTTGTGTCACCTCATCCGAGCGGATCGAGTCTCGAAGGCTCGAGTCCGTGCAAAGTCCGAGTTTTGTTTTGACCGAGTCCGGCCCAGTTGTCAATTCCGAGCCAAGTCTGAGCCATATCGCAAACTTTTTTTTTATAGCAGGACAAGCACACTATGAACACAGTGATTGTCGAATCGGTTTCCTGTCAGTATTTTTTACAGCCTAGTAAGCTTTCTAAAAGAAATTTTCCCAGGCCAGTGTTAACTGACGCGGGACCGTTTTAAAATAATAATTTAAACTCTTTTTCTCAAATTTAAGAAATCGACAGGTTGTCCGGACTCGGTTTGTCCATCACTAGAGGAGGATACGTTCTTTCGGAATATGAAAGAAAAATATCTCCGTCATATGAAAAGTATGGCCTACCTGCCACTGCTGATGCCATCAGAATCCAAGCTACTGCCCCGTCCATTCTCCCAGATGCAATGATCGAGAAGCTGTTGAGTAAAGGCTATATCCAAATTGCAAGTACAAAACCCTACCATCACCTCGCCTTGCACCTACGCATACCACCACTGAACAGTTACCAGCAGCCAATCAGGAACGAACAGGAATTATAATTGTTTTTCTGATTGTACATGTTCAAAAACATGGGCGGGACTTAAGCCAGAAATGAGTAATGTACGATTTCACAATGTGTTACTTTACAGAGCAACAAAATGTAGAATTATTGATTATAATGGGAAGTTTTCATGAAGGCACTCAAAAGGGATAGCGGATTACAATTTACATGAGTTTAACAAATCGCTTTTTTTAAGCATCTGTTAATGGATGAGTCGTTTTATCTTTTGCAACAGGCTTTCATTTTGATATTTTTTTTGGCGGGAGTACACACAAGGCAATTGAGCTTATACTTACCTGCTTTCTGCTTCGTGTTTGCGAATAGAATATGTTTTTAATAGAAGAATTTTTAAAAAAATGGGTTTGCCTTCTAAATGAACTTCATACGGCATTCAGGTGCAACGTTAATATTTAAATAAAATCTAAGATGGCGGCTATTTTGAAATGTCCAAGATGGCTGACATCCATCGGGGAAACTTCATCAAGAATGTGTTATTTTAGATTCCTTGGTATCAAATTAAAGGGTTTGCTACCTAAATGAACTTCATACAAAAATCCGAGTCCAAATTGTTATGCAAATTAGTTCAAAATGGCGGCCGTTTTGAAATCCATTGTGATTTTATGGAGACCAAGTGTCCGGGAGAAAAAAACATGTCTAGAATTTGGCGCGGGTGTGCGAATGCAGTCACCCCCCCCCCCCCCCCCGCGGTTTGCGGTAACGCATGTGTTTCAATCGATGAGTCCTTTTATCTATCGTTATAGGTATCATTACTTATATGGTATTAGCACAAATGCACACAAAGGAACGGAGCTATTAACTACCTGCTTCTTGTCGCCTCGTGTTTACCAATTGTTTTTTTTTAATGGAAAAAAAACGTTGTTCCATCTATCGGTATTGTGTAATTCTCTGAAGCGCAAAGCGTTCCTGACAGAAAATTAGTTCCCATCCATCAGTATTTCATCGCGTACTCGGCTGAAGTGCAATAGCCCAGACAAAGAACCAAACCACACAGTGCAAGCAGGCTAAACCTTCGTCTACGCGTCGTATTAGTCACAGGGATAAGGCCATTTATCGAAAAATGTGATGGTTGATCTTATATTGTTTTCTGTTGTAGGACATCTTGGGACATCCGAAATGGTGCTCTTTGCACAGCCGGTACTTTTGCCTTCCAGCTGAAAAAAACATCATTTTGGGGGCTTATTGTTTGAGAAACAGCTAAAATCATATTTTTGGCCACTGCTCTCTCAAATGGTCTCATCGTGACCGGCCTAATGCAACGTTCGACCACCCTGAAGGGTAGGTAAACAAGAAACCAAATTTCGTATCGGTTGTGTAGATTATAGAAATATAACTTAAAAGTGATTTTAGATCAGACTAATTAGCTTAAGACATGTGCAAAGAGCGCAAAGGGGGGGGGGGGGTGGAGAGACGTTACCCCATTTTTTCGCTGATACGGTAGAGGAGCAAATGAAACTAGTTTGTACGGATGCCTTGGCACTCATGTATATGAAAATAACTTAAGAGTGATTTTAGGTCAGACTAATTACCTTAAGAGCGGTGGGAAAAGCGCGGAGGAGGCGGGGCCTCTAACCTCACCATGTTGTTTGGCTCCAATAGTCGCAAGGCATTTTTTAAAATCCTGCCAAGTTTCTCTGCAGTTGTTCTGAGGTCTTTCGGTTATTTGACACCAAGTTTATGAAAACAGGGCATAAATTCGTCAGAAAATATCCATTTTCCAACACAGTTTGGACTAAATGTCAACTTTTCCATTGAAAAGTACATCTAAATGAAAGCGTGAATGAGAGTGAGTGCCAACGAACAGATCGAATTGAAACTGTGCAAAATGTACTACAAAATTTAAAATGGTTGCTGTTCAGAGGTATACTCCATAGACTGCAGTCGAGGATGGGTTGATTAAATAGGTTTAGTAGACATTCCATTGTCAGTTAATCTAAACGACACTACATACAATCGCTGGCCGTTTATTTAATTCAATGCAGTACATTAAATTAGAATCAATTAGTAATTTAGACATTAGTATTGAGGAGGTGATGGGTTTGGTTAGGTGGGTTGGGGTATTGGTATAGGAGAGTTACACCTGGATGCGTTGTTCACAAACGAACAGTTGTTTTGTTCATTTAGCCGCATCTAAGCCTCTTTGCTCTTTGAACGGTATATACAATGAATCAATGGTAAAATACTGCGTTTGACCATCTTCCTTTTTAATTCTGTACCCCTTTCCTGTTCCTTTTTTTTATCTTCTATTCCCCTTTCCCACCACACCTGGCGGCTATATTACGAGTAATTATTATGTCAATACAAAAAAATGGAAGACATGATAGGATGCTTTGCCGGTAACGCATTTTTTAATTTATGAGTCCTTTTATTTATCGTTATAGGTATCATTACTTATATGTATTAGCACAAATGCACACAAAGGAACGGAGCTATTAACTACCTGCTTCTTGTAGCCTCGTGTTTGCAAATTGTTCTTTTGAATGGAAAAAAAACGTTGTTCCATCTATCATTCTGTATTTGGTAATTGTGCAAAGCGTACCTGGAAGGAAATGAGTTCCCATCCATCAGTATTTCATCGCGTACTCGGCTGAAGTGCAATAGCCCAGACAAAGAACCAAACCACGCAGTGCAAGTAGGCTAAACCTTCGTCTACGAGTCGTATTAGTCCCTGGGAAAAGGCCATTTAATCGGAAAATGTGATGGTTGATCCTGATATTGTTTTCTGTTTGTAGGACATCTTGAGACATCAAAAAATGGTGCTCTTCAATGCACAGCCGGTACTTTTGCCTTCCAGCTGAAAAAAAATCATTTTTAGGGGCTTATTGTTTGAGAAATAGCTAAAATCATATTTTGGCCACTGCTCTCTCAACAATGGTATCATCGTGAAATGATGCCGCAACGTTTGACCATCCTAAAAGGACGGGTAAACAAGAAAAAAAATATTCGTATCGGTTGTGTAGATTATGGAAATATAACTTCAGAGTGATTTTAGATCATACTTATTAGCTTAAGACATGTGCGAAAGCGCAGAAGGGGCGTAGCCGTTACCCCATTTTTTTCGCTGATACCGTTGCAACGCAACGGTAGAGGAGCAAATGAAACCAGTGTACGGATCCTTGGCACTCATGTAATATGAAAATAACTAAGAGTGACTTTAGGTCACAAAACAGGGCATAATTCGTCACAAA